TATTCAACAGAGGTGGTTTGAATTGTCAGCAAACTTGGCTAGTGAAACCGCAACTGCAATGACTGGTAGAATACACCTACGCCTACTACGAAATGTACTACTAGAAAATATCTAATGTTTGAGATTCTCGTCATTAAATATCACGGTTTCAGCAGGAGGAAAACTACACGTCAATCAAATTTGCAAGCCAGCCGACTAGCACTTGTAACAGGAATTGGCATCAAATGACTACCAAATATACGTTGCTAGTGAATTAGCTATAATCGGAGAAAATTATTCCACCTCACCTCTAAAGAAAGGACTGAGTCTACAAAGTGCTCCAAAGCTTCCACCAGACACTTAGTTGGATTTGCATGACACCAGGAAGTGTACGGTAGGTGTCTTGCAAGTGTACTACTATTATATACTAACCCATGCACGATTCGTTGCCCTTGTATCCACCCTTTTCTGTAGCGCACGGTGAATCTCCTCAATAAACGGTCAAATTACAAGCCAAAAATCGTTTGTTTTTATGTATTAAGAGAGTCTGAATTCGGTCGCACGCAAGGAAACCGTGTGCGATCTCATCAAAACTCCTTTTAAAGGTATTCCATTATTGAGCGGGGTCTTGCATCAAGGCGATGAGCGCGTGTTAGCTGGCCAACGCATGCACGTTCTGTCCATCTGCAGCGATGCCCATGAGCGAAGGGAATGCCCTGAACTCTACCAGACCTGAGTGGAGTGCCAGTTCGAAGACCCGCCTGCGTCAACCACCAGGGACAAGAATATACGGCGCGTCAGTTCGCCTCGCAGCTACAGTAAGTCGTGGCCTGTGCATCGAGGATCTGGGATGTGACAGTGACGCCGGATTAGCATAATTAGGGAACTGTAGTGCCTGAAAAGAGGCCTAACCACGACGAAAATGACTGGCCGGAGATATCTATGCAATAAAGGGACTTTCGAGTTAGTAGGCAGATCTATCTAACTTCAGTTTAGTGTCTTAAAGAAGCGAAAGTAATAATGCGAAGAACGATCGGTCTAATCGTGTACCGGCAGTCCTAGCCGACTTAGACTATAGAAAAGTTGGATGAAGTAGAATGTATACATGGCGTCCATCGACACATTCCACCCAAGCCTATACGCCCAGGATATAAATAGACTGTAAATATTTTACTTATGTCTGTTCCGCATTTTCTGAGATCTCCTGTCGGAGTGAGGGTGCATAAACGGCCGACCAAGGACCTAACCCACCAGCCGAGCTCTTATGTATGGAAAGTCAGGCGTGATACCATTCAGAGTAAAAACATCGACTGCGTTCTTTGAGCGCACAAGTCGTGTAGGAGAGTGCGGCCGAGAAATTGGTCAACGCACTAGCCTCATGCCGATTCTGGGATGGTTGACTAGGTCCTTTGCCTGATCTCCCAATATTCAATTGCCCAATTACTTGCCTACGTGGCAGAAATTTCGGAGCTGTCCAGTGTCAGCTACAGAATAACATAGTGGGTCCCACGATCACCACTTTAATCGGAAATCGCATTACTGAAAACAAAAACAAGTGTCAGGCAGCTGATTTGTTTACTTCCCGCCGTTGATTGTGGCAAAAACTTCCTCGAGCCGTCAGCCAGCGCATCATATTGGCGACGACTGCGCTTTAACCTCCCGTGCAGAATCTTTGCTGGTTTCCTGCACCTCCTTAAGGGGACCGAACTCCTGTAATTAGGACGCAAAATCCGTCCTAGACGCCACAAATGCAAACGAATACGAATGCTCCCCAGGCAATATGGCAGAACTAAGAGAAATTTTGACAAAGTTTAGTCAGGTTTATTACTTAATCAACGAAAAAATAACAAATGCCATTGATTCGGTGGAAAGATGATAGCCCAGAATAAGTACCACCAATAAGGTGTAGAGACTGATACTAGTGCTTTTCACAGGCAATAAAGCGTGCCTCCACA